GAAATATGGGAAGGGGCATAGAGAGAAGGGAAAGGGGAAAACGAAGAAAAAGTAAACAACTTAAAAATTTCTTAAAAAGGAAAATTTCAAGCATAGAAAGGAAAGTGGGAAAGAGTTTTTTGATTTTAAATAATTTTATAGATTTAATAAAAGAGAGATGTGAATTAATAATTGAAAATAATGGTAAAAGAATTAATTATTAATTATATATTAATAAAATCTCTAGGTTTTTAGCTTTATTTTGATATATTTTTTATTAATTTTTATAAATAAAAAATTCCAAAATTTTTTGCACCACACTGTAAGTTACTTATACTATATATTACACTTTTTTACTTATACAATTAATATAGCAAAAGATCCCAATTAGATTGCTCATATATATATTTCCTAATAAATGTTCTGAACTAATACTATAGTACAATATGTCCTTTAACTATTGATTGGTTAAAGTTATTAAATTTAAAAGCTATATTTAGCCAAATGAAGTACTACTCCTTAAGGACTAACAAGCTATACTAGGAAGTTTCTGATTTTTCTTAACCTTCTAATAGACACTCCAATTCAAGATCAATTGATATAAGTTGTCAAATCTAGAAATATAAATGCTAAGCAAGGTATAACTCTTATATACAACACCTATTAGAGAGCCATGTTACATAAGACATTAGTATTGGTTCAGTATTTATCTTCAAGATTTTCTTATTTCAATAATTAATAGTTAAGGGATAATCTTGCTAAAATAATAAAATGAAATATAGTTCAATCTGTATTTCCAAATATATTATATTCTTGCTTGTTAACAATTATTATGACACTAACTAGATAATTATTATATTATAACATCTTTTTTGAAAATCACAATCTTAATGCCTGCTAACTCTTTCTGCTGATCCTTTTGCCAACCAAAAAAACAGATGTTCTCAAAAGACTTTTTGTTTTTATAATAATAAAGTCTATACACTTTCCTTAAAAAAACAATACTAGTTTTAACCAGCCAAGCAAGCAGAAGCTATCACTTGTTTTATTTTTCTTTTTCAATACACTTTTCTTGTTTATTTTTGCGACTAAAATACAAGAAATTCACTTAAAAGGTCTATGGCAAGAACATCTTTATAGAAAGAAAACTGATAAGAAAAAATACCCTCCAAAGACTCCCAAAAGATTCAAGAATCTAGAGAAACAAGAATAAAGAAATCTCCAGTCTTTCCATCATCTTTTTGGCTTCCCACTTCTTTTTTCTCAAGCGTGTTTCCTTTTTTCTGGTTTTTCTGGGGAATTTTACCTACCTCAGTTTGATCCTGAATTTTTGGTCACACCAGATCTCCTGAAAGATGATTGGTCAAGGTTACGGATTGGTTGATCACGTCAGCCACAGAAAAAGTAAACAAGACACATACTCCTTACGTGTTCCCAGTTATGCAACATCAAACCGATGATGTAATTGGTTCCTGAAAGAGTTGGACGGTTTCAAGTTGAAGTTGTGAGAAGAAGAGGAGCGACCCCTTTTTGTTCCTATCCTTTTATTTTCTTTTTTTCTTCACTATTTTTTCTTGAGAGCAGGAAGTAACAACAAAGTCTAGGTCCTATTCCAATTTGGTAACAAGCTGAAGTACCGATATCTATCCCGGAAATGGTTGGAGAAAGGGATCTTGAAACTATCCACTGGTTAAGTGAAGCTATAATTCCAGAAGACATGGCTTGGAAGAGAAATCAACAATAGAAAACTAACATCCTTTTTGGTTAGAAGTCTTCAAGCATAAAGTTTCAAGAAATACTCTTCTGGAAGTGCCCTTAAACGTTCTTGAATATTGACTACTCCATTGGAAATTAAACAGTCTAACTGGCCACAGGTGGTGAGAAGTGGAAATCCATAAGGGGCTTGGGTTTTAAGTTCACTAAGATAACCTTTTCAATGATAATTAGAATAGACAATAGCTTTTTTTTTTCCTTTCTTTTTGTTAAAAAATTCCTTTTTTATTCCTTTTTCTCCTTGTGTAGTTTTTACAAGAGAGGGGTGACACAATTTGGATTTATGGTCGTGACTGTGGAGGTGATCTGCAGGTGCTGATCCTATTGAAAATTTGGGATCTTAATCCTATCCTTTAGGGGAACAATACATTACTTCCATAAATCGCATCTAGAGGTTTCAACTAAAGACAAGTGAGTTGGGTTGAGGAAATTTGTACTTTGCATGTATTCTCGTATGTATAATGGTTCTCTATGATTTAATAAATAAATGACACCAACCTGATTGCGGGATTAAAAAAAAATAAAATAAAATAAAGTCTTTTAATATATGAAAAAAGAAAATATTTTATAAAAGATTATCTGATAATAAGAGAAAATATAAACCATTAAATTAATAAGAATGATTAATCAATCAAACAAATAAAAGCTTGAAATTTTTAAATTCATAAAAATAAAAACTAATAATATAAACAAGAATTCAATTTAAAGAATTAATAAGTAATAAATAAAAAAAAAGTATTTGTAAAAAAAAGTTGATATTAACTTTATAATCTTGAAAATTGAAATAATATCAGATATAAACAAAAAGTTTTATAAAATAAAAAAACAAAACTATATAATTTAGAGTAATAATAGAAATAATAATATAATACTAATGAATAAAGATTTACTATAAACAACAAATAGCAAATTAAACAATGTATTATAAAAGCCTTATGCAAAAAGAAAAAATTATCAATAATTAAAATTAAATAACATATAATATAGTTAATAATTTATTGGTAATACTTGTAAATATTATTTTAATACAAATGTTGCAATACTAAGATCAGAAAAAAAAATCTTGTAATGATTTTAAAGTAATCAACTATTTCAAAAAAAACAATATTTATAGTTACAAATAAAAAAAAATAACTGCTATAAAATATTAAATTAAAATTTATAATCAACCTTTTACAATTACAGTATATATATTGTTGTAGGGAAAAATGATGGGTAGATGATAGGAAATTATAAGGGTAAGTATATCAGGTATAAACGGTATATCAGGTATAAGTAGTATAATAGGTATAAAGTAAAAATGTATATAAGTGACCTGAGAATGGTCAAAAAGTAAGAAGAATCAGAATAGGTATTGCGCAACTGTTAAATAAAAACCATCTTTATTTGATAAACTATTGCTTGGTGATTGACCCCAATGTCACGTAGCTAACGGAATTGCTGCGCATGAAATAACCATTGAGGACGCAAGATCGACGGACTGATCTGCGTCAGTGTTACGAACTCTGGCCAAATTCACACGCCTTTTTTGAGTAGAAACTGCTCCAATCATTACACAGCACAAGACAGATCAAAGCGACTGACTCGCCATGATTTCACCACAACATTTTTGGTAGTAACTGTGAGATAAAACACTACCAATGACACTCGTTACCCTCCTGATTTCTTTTATAATGACTTTCCACACACGACACTTTAATACATGACATCTACGATCTGTATTATATACTACACCCCGATATATTTTATTGGATATAAGCGACAACGATTAACGACAGAACAGACAAGCATACACGCATTTTCCACACATAGCAGCATTATCGTACACGACACTCATTACCCAATATTTTTTTTGCGAACCCAAAAATAGAAAGATTTAATTAACTATTGTTCAAACATTCGCCGAAACAAGACGTCAAGACCCATTCGTGATACACATGACACCCTAATTAATATTAATAATCAACGGCGTCATGATTAAAATCATATGCGACACAGATGATGAAAGAGCTTCCCATACCCTTCCACGACAAAAACTCCGGAGAAAACCGGTAAAGGTGCTCGCCAACTGAGAACAGATAGCAAGGTCGAAGAAGGAGGGGAAGGAGACCCAGAGAACAAGAATCCGGAAGTTCGGAGACGGAGTAGAAGGAGACCCACGATCGTGAATAAGGCTTTACGACGAAGCCGCCAAACAAAACAACTGGATGGATGACAAAAAACTAAGGAAAATAGGTAAGTACTTAAAAGAGGACGCATTAGAATGGTACAAGGAGAACTGGTGCCGTTTTGCCTGTTGGGACAACGAATACGATTGCGAAGGGAGTTTCGCACCAACATTCGTGCAGATGCTTGAGCAACGATGCCAGTGGCAGAAAGAATTAGAAAGTATAGAACAGAAAAAAAACGAAAAGGTAGTAGAATATGCCAGTAGGTTTGCGAGGCTACTCGAGAAGGTATACCCCAAGGAAAACTACCACAAGAAACCGGCAGAATGGCTGCTGGTAATGGGACTACGGAAGGACATATTGCCTTTACCCACCATTGCAAATGCGACCGACCCTGTGGAAGTAATCAGAGCAGCAATGGAGGCCGAAGCTGAGGCCGAAAGGAAACTACAAAAGACCAAGAGGTTAGATCGCGTGTAAGAATTAAGAAAACAAATGTATGAAGTGAAAAAAAGATATTACCAAGTTACCACCTCCACCGCAAGCAACCCAAAAGGGGTGACCAAAAAAAGAAATAGAGGGTACCATAAGTATAAGGAAGATTATGATGATATGCCTGCATCGGAAGAGGAGGCAAACATTGTTAGAGGCAGTAGGAAGAAGACCGTTAAGGGGTAGCCAACAAAGATCCCGACCTCGAACGATGAGATCAAGAAAGCACCCGCTGACGAGATCGTTAATAAGGGACCTGACGGGAACACTGGGCAGAATGAAAAGTTGGACAATAAAGGAAAGACGAGGAAAGAGAATGGCGAAGGGGAAGTGATAGGAAAGACGAATAATAATCCCAACTCTGATAATGAAGCGCAACCGGTGATTCCAGGTTCTGTAGCGTACTCCTTCCAATTGAAAGAAACATCGGCAGCAACCAAAGAGAATCCAGAAAAGGTTAACGAAACTGAGGAGAAGGGGGAAGGTTAGTTAGAAGAACAACGTGAGCTAATAGAGATAGTCGCGGAAGAACAAGATGCCGAGGTAATGAAGGAACAGCCAGCATAACACAACTTGAAACGTGAAGAAATGTGCAGGAAGGATAGTCCCCTGAACGAGGAAAGTCATGATGAACCTGGCGTTGAACTACACTCTGATGCAAATGGAGTGGGAATGGGGTATCGTGATGATGATGGGAGCATACTCGCGAAACAAGACGTCCATCCATCAGAGAGGAACGGAGTAGTGATAGTACCAACCGGTAACATCACGATTGTAAGTTGTAATGACCTGGAAGGACGTAGCAAAAAGGAAAACGGAGAATTAGTAATTAATGGCACGAGGTATTGGAACACAGATGGACTTACCATGAAGAGACCTAAAGTGAATAGGGTGGGGTTGAGGTATTGTGATGAAGGATGGATCACAATTTATGAGCGGGATGCCCACCCCCCTGAGGGTAAAATGGAGTATGAAGCAGAAGGAGAGACGATATTCATAAGTACGTGGGAACCATGGGACCCCGAGGACAGTGGAAATGATGATGTTACAGAAGAGGAATTCACAAACGATGACGAATTAGCGGATCAAGATCATTGGTGGAAACGATACTGTGGAAAAAGGATACAACTGTCAGCGTGCCTATTAACCATCAAGATGATGGGAACGAAGTAGTGTTGGTACCAACCAGTATCGTCACGATCGTAAGTTGTGATGACCCGGGAGGACTTAAAAAAAAAAAGTGAACCGAGAGTTAACAATTGGTGATAGGAAGTATGGTGACGCACACGGACTTACCGATGGGAGACCTGATGCAAGTGGAGGTAGATTGGGATGTCACGAGGATGGAGGGACGATAACCGATGACCCTCCTGATGAGGCTAAAACAGAGAATAAAACGAAGGGAGGGACGGTGGTGATGAATGCGAGGAAATTATGGGCACCCGGGTACGAAAAATGGTAGCGACGGACGAACACGCTCAAGGAGTTAATGATAGCATACGTAGACGTCATTGCAAAACTAATACACTGCACAATGATGATCATTGTCATGACAGTTCTGATAACCAATGGAGCTGTCTCGAAATCTGAATGTGCAGGAATAATGCGACGTATTGGTAGCATTAGCAGGAAGGCCGGTTGGTGCACAGAAGGATGGAGGGAAAGAGAGCGCGAAAAGAGAACACAACGAAGGTTACAACCGACAAAGATATGTACTGACCACATCATTATTAAAGCAAGCGCGAAAAAGGGATGATGGTGTGAGCGAAAAAGTAAAAATCGCGATACATGTCATGGGAGATGATTGCTCGTAGTACTCGCGAGCAAGGAGGGGAAGAAAATTTGTGAAAAAAAAAAAATGAAACGGATGGATGAGAAAGTGGGATAAAAAGAGAAATAGAATAGTGTTAGTTTAAGTATAGTTTAGAATTTATTCAACGATGACATTAGATTAGCTTATTGTGTTTAGTTTTGACTTTTGATTTCTACTTCGATTATCAATTATTCCCCTTTATCTTTATCCGATTAATCAGAACTTTTATTTTTCTATTTTTTTACTTTATTTTGAAAGAAGTGAAAAAAAAAAAAAATTGGAAAAATCAGAGAAAATTTTTGAACGAAAAAGAATATTTTATTTTCATTTTTTTTATTATTATTAATATAGTGGTTCTTTTTTTTGAAATTATACAAATAGTTGAAAATACCTATTACCTTTTTGATTTTTTTGATTTTATTATTATTTCTTGTGATTTATGTGAATGAATAATATTGGATCCAGATATAGCTGTAGACGACCTTGGTTCCTAGAGATAGGAATCCATAGCATATGCCGGTTAAGGGCTGATTAGCCATAGCACCCTAGGTAATATTACCTTTGGAGCAGATTGGTGTTTGAGGCTATAGTATCCAAATTGTATAATTTATATAAACAATTTTTGAACAACTAT